TGTCCCTCAGCCAGGAGCACTCACTGCCACCAAGCCACAGGTGCTCACTGCCACCAAGCCCCTTGGCACCTCCCTCACACAGCCCCAGGGGAGTCAAGAAGGGTCCCACCAGCACCCACACGGGGCCAAGGGATCCAGAGGTGCTCAAGTGAGACCCTCTGAGTCCCACCTCAGAGGACCAAGGCACCCTCATGGTCACCAAGCCATGGACAATCACTGACCCTCAGCCAGGGGCACTCACTGCCACCAAGTCCCTTGGTACCTCCATGACACAGCCCCAGGGGAGTCAAGAAGGGCCTTACCAGCACCCACATGGGGCCAAGAGCTCCAGAGGTGCTCAAGGGACAACCTCTGTGCCCCACCGCAGAGGACCAAGGGACGCTCAGGGTCACCCAGACACGGACCGTCATTGTCAATACGAGTCTGTATGACTTACTGCCAACTCTTGGCCACCAGCCTTGGACAATCACTGTCCCTGAGGCAGAGGAACTCACTGCCACCCAGCCAGGGGTGCTCACTGCCACCAACTCCCTTGGCACCTCCCTCACACAGCGCCAGGGGAGTCAAGAAGGGCCCCACCAGCACCCACACGGGGCCAAGGGCTCCAGAGAATCTCAAGGGAGAACCTCTGTGCCCCATCTCCAAGTTGCAACAGGCCCTCAGGGCCACCCAGGCATGGACCCTCATTGTCACTGGGAGTCGACATGAGTTACTTCCAACTCATGGCCACCAACCCAAAGAGAATCATGGTCCCTAAGCCAGGGGCACCCATTGCCAGCAAGCCAGGGGTGCTTACTGCTACCAACTCCCTTAGCACCTCCCTGACACAGCCCCATGGGTGTCAAGGAGGGTCCCACCAGGAACCTGAAGGGGCCAAGGGCTCCAGAATTGCTCAAGCGAGACCCCTCCCGCTCTCAGAGGAGCCAGGGACCAAGGCCAAGGGCTCCAGAGGTGCTCCAGGGAGACCCTCTCAGCCCCACCTCAGCCCCCCACAAGGTCTCCCCCAGGACACCAGGTGGCAAAAGCTGCAGCTCCTGCATTGGCCGGGAATCGAACCCGGGCCTCCCGCGTGGCAGGCGAGAATTCTACCACTGAACCACCAATGCCAGATGTGCCCTGACCTCTGACCCCACCGCCCCACACCCCCTGCCTCTGAGCCACGGACCCTGAGGGCCACCAAGCCAGGGACCTTCATTGGCACTGGGAGTCAGTGGGACTTACTGTCAACTCGGCCATGGACCCTCATGGCCACCAAGCCATGGACAATCACTGTCCCTCACCCATGGACAATCACTGCCACCAACCCCGGGGTGCTTACTGCCACCAACTCCCTTGGCACTTCCCTGACACAGCCCCATGGATGTTCAAGAAGGGCCCCACCAGCACCCACAGGGGCCAAGGGCTCCAGAGGTGCTCAAGGGAGAACCACTGAGCCCCACCTCAGAGGAGCAAGGGACCCTCAGGGACACCCAGACATGGACCCTCATTGTCATGAGGAGTCAGTGTGACTTACAGCCAACTCATGGCCACCAAGCCATGGACAAGCACTGTCCGTGAGCCAGGGTAAATTACTGCCACCCAGCCAGGGGTGCTTACTGCCACCAAATCCCTTGGCACCTTCATACCACAGCAGCATGGGAGTCAAGAAGGGTCCCACCAGCACCCACATGCAGCCAAGGGCTCCAGAGGTGCTCCAGGGAGACCCTCTGAGTCCCACCTCCAAGGGGCAATGGTCCTCAGAGCAATAGACCCAGACATGGACCCTCATTGTACAATGGGAGTCAGTGTGACTTACTGCCAACCCATGGCCACCAAGCCAAAGAGAATCATGGTCCCTAAGCCGGGGGCACCCATTGCCACCAAGTCCCTTGGGACCTCCCTGTCACAGCCCCATGGGTGTCAAGAAGGGTCCCACCAGGAACCTGATGGGACCAAGGGCTCCAGAATTGCTCAAGTGAGACACCTCCCCCTCGCAGAGGAGCAGGGGACACTCAGGGCCACCAAGCAAGGGACCCTGAGGGCCACCCAGACATAGACCCTCATTGGCACTGGGAGTCCGTGTGACTTATTGCCAACTCAGCCATAGGCCCTCATGGCCACCAAGCCAAGGATGATAAATGTCACCAAGCCTAGGCTGCTTACTGCCACTAAGTCCCTTGGCACCTCCCTGACACAGCCCCATCGGTGTCAAGAAGGGCCCCACCAGCACCCACACGGGGCCAAGGGCTCCAGAGGTGCTCAAGGGAGACCCCCTCAGCCCCACCTCAGCCCCCCACAAGGTCTCCCCCAGGACACCGGGGTGGCAAAAGCTGCAGCTCCTGCATTGGCCGGGAATCGAACCCGGGCCTCCCGCGTGGCAGGCGAGAATTCTACCACTGAACCACCAATGCCAGATGTGCCCTGACCTCTGACCCCACCGCCCCACACCCCCGGGGCTGCCACCAGCAGGGACAGCCCCTCACACCCAACAACCCCAACCACCGGGGACCCCAACACACACCTCTCCCCACCCCGCTCCACACACCCCAATGCCTCTTCCTGCTCCTCACACACCCCTCCACCCAGCACCCGGGCTCAGTAGTCTTCAGAGTTAACACTCCCTACAGCAACAACCAAACCTCACGCTCTCAGCACAGGGGCTACACACCCTGCCCCACGCCACGGGGCAACCCACACACCCTTCACCTCCACCTTGCCCACCAACATGGGACACACCACCCCCACCCACCACCCAAAGCCACCCACCTCGGGGGTGCAGCGACACCTCCCAGCCTCCAGCAGCCCCCTCTGACCTGGGCCAGGGACCCTCACCCCCACCAAGCCACGGACACTCACTGGCCCTGCCACTAGTCACACTGCACTGCCACCAAGACAGTGTCCCCCACTACCTCTGAGCCAGGGACCATCAGGGCCACCAAGCCAGGGACAATCCCAGTCCCTCAGCCACGGGCACTCACTGCCACCAACTCCCTTAGCACCTTCATACCACAGCTACATGGGACTAAAGAAAGGTCCCACCAGCACCTACATGGGGACAAGGGCTCCAGAGGTGCTCAAGGGACAACCTCTGAGTCCCACCTCAGAGGAGCAAGGGGCCATCACAGCCACCCAGACACGGACCTTCATTGGCACCAAGAGTCAGTGTGACTTACTGGCAACTCACCCAGGGACCATCGTGGTCACCAAGCCATGGACAATCACTGTCCCCAGCCAGTAGTCACACTGCACTGCCACCAAGACAGTGTCCTCCACTGGCTCTGAGCCAGGGATCATCAGGGCCACCAAGCCAGGGACCCTAATTATAACTGAGATTCAGTGTGACTTACTGCCAACTCAGACAGGGACCCTCGTGGCCACCAAGACATGGACAAGCACTGTCCCCAGCCAGTAGTCACACTGCACTGCCACCAAGCCAGGGGTGCTTGCTGCCACCAAATCCCTTGGCACCTCCCTCACACAACCCCACGGGAGTCAAGAAGGGCCCCACCAGCACCCACACAAGGCCAAGGGATACAGAGAGACACTGAGCCCTCTCTCAGACCTGGCAGGGACATTCAGAGCCACCAAGCCATGGACAAGCACTGTCCCTCAGCCAGGGGAACTCACTGCAACCAACCCAGGGGTGCTCACTGCCACCAACTCCCTTGGCACCTTCATACCACAGCCCCATGGGAGTCAAGAAGGGCCCCACCAGCATCCACACGGGGCCAAGGGCTCCAGAGGTGCTCCAGGGACACCCTCTCAGCCCCACCTCAGCCCCCCACAAGGGCTCCCCCAGGACACCGGGGTGGCAAAAGCTGCAGCTCCTGCATTGGCCGGGAATCGAACCCGGGCCTCCCGCGTGGCAGGCGAGAATTCTACCACTGAACCACCAATGCCAGATGTGCCCTGACCTCTGACCCCACCGCCCCACACCCCCTGCCTCTGAGCCACGGACCCTGAGGGCCACCAAGCCAGGGACCTTCATTGGCACTGGGAGTCAGTGGGACTTACTGCCAACTCGGCCATGGGCCCTCATGGCCACCAAGCCATGGACAATCACTGTCCCTCAGCCAGGAGCACTCACTGTCACCAATCCAGGGGTGCTCACTGCCACCAAGCCCCTTGGCACCTCCGTGGCACAGCCCCAGGGGAGTCAAGAAGGGTCCCAGCAGCACCCACACTGGGCCAAGGGATCCAGAGGTGCGCAAGAGACAACCTCTGTGCCCCACCGCAGAGGAGCAAGGGACCCTCAGGGCCACCCAGACATGGACCCTCATTGTCACCGGGAGTCAGTGTGACTTACTGCCAACTCATGGCCACCAGGACATGCACAAGCACTGTCCCTCAGTCAGGGGCACAACCTGCCACCAACCCAGGGGTGCTTACTGCCACCAAGCCCCTTGGCATCTCCCTCACACAGCCCCATGGGAGTAAAGAAAGGCCCCACCAGCACCCACACGGGGCCAAGGGCTCCAGAGATGCTCAAGGGAGACCCTCTGAGCCCTCCCCTGAGCCACCCACAAGGGCTCCCCCAGGCTCCATCAAGGCAGCAGATGCCTGGGAGGAGAGTTAGGACCTCTGCTACTGCTACAGCGAGGTCCTGCCACCGGGAAAACAGGGACAAATTCGGGGGCCACCTTCTGCAGGATGGCCCCTCCAGCTGTGGCAGTGCCACCCGCCGGGGGTGGCGGTGACAGCCCCTCTCCCTCCCCAGCCGGTGACAACCGAGGAGAGAAAAAAAACACAGGTTGCATTGGCCAGGAATCGAACCCGGGCCTCCCGCGTGGCAGGCGAGAATTCTACCACTGAACCACCAATGCCAGATGTGCAACACCCTCTGGTGCTGCCCCACGGCCCCGGGTACCAATTTCTGACCCCCATCTCTCCCCCAACCCCAAGACCCACATTGTGGGAGGTGTTTGCATGCCCCTTTTGTGCCCACCCCATGGGGGGGGGATGTCCCCACCACGAAGGTGCCTGTACCCCTGGTGCACTCCCAACATCTGCCCCCCCCCCCTCTACCCAAGAACCCCCCCAGAAGTGGGGGTTACCATGTACTGCAGGCGCATCTCGTACTGCAGCTTGTCCTGGAGCAGGCGGGTGAGCTCGCATTCGCCCGGCGCCGCGGCCTCCAGCCCCAGCACAGTGTGACTTACTGCCAACTCATGGCCACCAGGACATGCACAAGCACTGTCCCTCAGTCAGGGGCACAACCTGCCACCAACCCAGGGGTGCTTACTGCCACCAAGCCCCTTGGCATCTCCCTCACACAGCCCCATGGGAGTAAAGAAAGGCCCCACCAGCACCCACACGGGGCCAAGGGCTCCAGAGATGCTCAAGGGAGACCCTCTGAGCCCTCCCCTGAGCCACCCACAAGGGCTCCCCCAGGCTCCATCAAGGCAGCAGATGCCTGGGAGGAGAGTTAGGACCTCTGCTACTGCTACAGCGAGGTCCTGCCACCGGGAAAACAGGGACAAATTCGGGGGCCACCTTCTGCAGGATGGCCCCTCCAGCTGTGGCAGTGCCACCCGCCGGGGGTGGCGGTGACAGCCCCTCTCCCTCCCCAGCCGGTGACAACCGAGGAGAGAAAAAAAACACAGGTTGCATTGGCCAGGAATCGAACCCGGGCCTCCCGCGTGGCAGGCGAGAATTCTACCACTGAACCACCAATGCCAGATGTGCAACACCCTCTGGTGCTGCCCCACGGCCCCGGGTACCAATTTCTGACCCCCATCTCTCCCCCAACCCCAAGACCCACATTGTGGGAGGTGTTTGCATGCCCCTTTTGTGCCCACCCCATGGGGGGGGGATGTCCCCACCACGAAGGTGCCTGTACCCCTGGTGCACTCCCAACATCTGTGCCCCAACGGGGGGGGTGAGGAGGGGTTTTGGGGGTCTCCCCACCTGCCGGTACTTGCTGTACTCCTTGCCCAGGGCGTCGAAGAGGTGTCCCAGCTCCTGGGTGTACCTCCAGGAGGGGTGTTTCTCCGGCAGCACCTCGCGGATGCGCAACACGGCCTGGGAGCTGAGGTGGAACCAGAGGTACCGCAGTGCCACCTCCGACACCGTCCCGTTGCGCTGCGGGACAGAGGGTGGACAAGGGTGAGATGCACCACCAACCCTCCTCAACCACCCCACGGGTCCCCACACCCCTCCCGGAGCGTCCCCCCATCACACAGGGTTGTCCCCCATCACACAGGGTTGTCCCCCATCACGCAGGGTTGTCCCCCACCGCTCGTCTTACCAGGCGGGTGATGTTGGAGGGTCTCAGCACCTCTTCGTACTGGACCTGGACGGTGTAGTCGATGGGGAAGTTGTGTTTCTGGGGAGGGAGCAGAGAAGAGCAGAGGGGCTGGCAGCAGAGCGACGGGGACATCACTCTGGCGGTGGGTGGGGAGGGTTGGAGACTAGATGATCTCCAGAGGTCACTCCCAACCCCGTGGGATTATCATAGAATCATAGAATTGTCCAGGCCAGAAGGGACCTCCAAAGGCCATCTAGTCCGACCCCCCCACAGTCA